AGTAACGGAACAATACACCTCAGCTTTGACTAGCAATCGATAACAACAAACGCAAGCCTTAATTACACTCCGCGCAGAAACAAAGTACGGCAGTTTCATCCACAAGCGGATAGTTAGAGAATGTTAGGAGTAGATCTGTATGCCATTGGCCGATATTGATTGTAACAGCCATCTTGTTTAACCTATTCTTTAACATACATAATATTATAATGAGCATTATCATAACACTTTGCTAAGATGAAAAAAACAACAGCTTTCTTTTTTTTAATCCACATTTTTTTCTCAGATCCGACAGTGAGACAGTAGGTTTAGAACTTCTTTTGTCTTTTGTCAGAATGAAGAACACTATTTTATGAGACAAACAAGATGACTGTTACTATAAATATCTGCCAATGGCGTACTCCTAACGTTCTCTAACTATCCGCTTGTCTTTCATTCTGGTAGTGTAACAGCTTCCGCTTCGCTGGGGTTCTATTTCTGTGGATTCAAGTGCATGTACGAATCATCGGTGTCGCAAACACTGGGGCACTTCAAGTCCCGTTTATAGTGCGGTCAAAAGTTCGTGGTGCAACTTATCTTCAAATTATAACTTTTTGACTGGTGAAGCAATGTCATCCATATTTTGCTAAGCAGTTTGTCTCAATTTGTCTTAAAACAATTTTCCCAATACAATTGAGGCTAGTTTAATAAACTTTTCTTCGTAAATTTATATAAAATACTACATATCTCCTATATGCCGAAAATGGAATTGTTCACAGCACTTCCCGCTTCTCACACACATTTTGTTTAAGCATAGCCTACGTCACAGATCACCAATGACACTTTTTAGTGGCAAAACTAGTTACAAGAAATTAATTTTATAATGAACACTTTTTGGAACTAAAAGTTCTCAAAATATGCGTTCAGTAAAAATAATCTTGCGATGAGAAAAGAAATGACAGACTTGCTTTTAAAAGCGATATCGTCCCAGCTGTAACCCTTTTAAAATCAGTAGAAACCATCGACTAGGATTTTTTATTAGTATTTCTTAAGGAATTTTCCAGAATAGAGCGAACAGGTATTTACAAAAATGCCGATCTGTTAAGGCAAATTGATACAAGTCACTGTGCAAAAGCTGGAGAGTTTATGTTCGATAGTTGAGGAGACATTTGACAATAAGTTGTGCCTCGAATTTTTGACGCACTATAGATAATTTTTTCACCAGAAACAAAAACCCCCCAAGTTTTGCTGTGTTGTTCCTATTGGGATTCATGAAAAGCAAGAACATTGTAAGCATTGGCCATAGCATTAAACCGTATTGTGGCAGTGTTGAAAGCTTTACCGGAGGATGTAAAAATCGAACATTCTCAAAACTTGGACTTGCAACAGCGACGTACGAATTTAATGTTGTTGATCTAACAGTTTACGCAGATATAAATGGCT